AATTTCACAAGTTCCGAAGCAGAGCTTCACTTGCCTAGAACGTCTACGTGTCGTTAAAGCAATGGCTCGTGAAAATTGCGACTGCGATTTGTTCATCTCTCCTTGGCCTTCTGAATGTGCTGACTCCAGGGCCGCTTGAAATCTCTCGAATTTGTTTAAATATAATTCCATGGCGTTTCCAAACCTTAGAATTGCTGAAGGAGTTGCCTTGGGCGAGCGATTCCCGCGAACTGAGCCGCGATTGGCTGCCTAAGCCAGACAGCCAATTGCCGCCGAAATGAGTTGAATGACTCCACCCATATAGTCGTCGCCTGCAGTCAATCGCTGCCTTTGGCGCGGATCTCTCCTCCAGTCCCAACAGCATTCTCCAAGGCCGAAAAACGTCGTAAAAAGCCCTTCTTCAATTTTTGAGAGATTTCAAGCACAATACTGGACTCAGCAAATCCAGAAAGGCCAACGAGGGATAGAAAACTCGCTGACGCAGATTTCTCGAACCACTAAACCACTACCTTCAAAGCAATTTTGAAGAATGACGCTTTTTACGTTATTTATTGTTATTTATTTTCACAAAAACAATGAAAAAAATAAAAGAGGGGTTGGCTACAAAATCAGTTGAAAGCCAACGAACCTGTGCTCGAAGGATCCAATCGTCATAAACCCACTAAAACGTAGATTTGGGCAATTATCGCTGATATAGCATGCCAGATCCGGAGCATCGTCCAGCGAGAGGCCTATAATGTTGTCATAGACACTTTTGATAAAAAAAAACGCACATACGGGACTGAATTTTTGCAAATGGGACGATTACTGCAAACAAGGAAGTATAAACTGATTGTTGGTCACCTCCTTTCTGTTCTTCATGGCTTGTATTCACTTGGACAAAGACATTGAGTACTCCCTCTTTCTTCCCCATCTCTTTGTTGAACATATCGCAATGTTTCTGGCTTTCAATCGTCTCAACACAGTACAATGAAGGGGAAGAGCAGATTTTTCCTATCTGAACAAAAAAGCTTCAAGGATAAGTTAGGAGGAAGCCTAAACCTAGACTACCTTGTTGGACTGGATCTTGCCTATATAATGCCAC